TTCCAAAGCAGCTTTCACGTTACTTGCGTTGTCCCGTAGAATGACGTGCACCTTTTGCAGAGGAATCCCCCAGTTATTTAGCATCTCTGCAATGGCGGCTGCGATTGTAGCTCGGTTGTGTGAACCCCGGCACTTTTTGACCTGAAGCACCGCGTAACAGAAGTGATGTGTCCCGGAGTCAACCCAGTGCACTGTAAGACTTATCAGTGACATTGGGCAGACATCTGAAGTCCAAATATCTGTAGTGAAGCTCAGGGCTGGAACTCCTTTCAGCTTCCCGGCTAACTTGGCTGACACTCGGTTGTATAGTTCAGGTAGCGCTGTCTCTGATAAATATGTCCTGGAGGGTAAACTGTACCTTGGCTCCAAGTGTTCAATCAGGCAGCGAAATCCCTCATTTTCCACCACCGATAGCGGTTGGTCACCAAGTACAATGAAGTTGAGCAGCTTTTCTGTAATCCCCATGGCTTTCACGTTGTCTGCGGGGAGTTTACTTTGCTTCTTGAATGACTCCAGTAGCGATTCTTGGTGTCGCTTTTCTCTTTTCTTCCCCCTCGTTAAAAACTCCTCATGCTCCCTCGGGTGGTGTTTTTTCAAATGTTTGATTAAATTAGTAGTGTTGAAAGTTGCGACGGAGGTTCCACCTCTTGGAACAACAGCTTTGCAAACATTGCACGTTGCTGTCTTGCTTTACGGAGCTTCCAGAGTAAAATATTTCCACACAGTGGACATTTTGTGTATAAAAGTTTGGCGCTGCTCATGCTAGCCAGCTACCTGTAACTGCTGTGAGCAGACTTCCTGAAAGGAGCCGCGTCATCTCTCTGTGCCTTCGGGGCACAGACAGTGCCTCCCAGCCTGGGATGTCTTATTTAGACATTACACAAGACATATTTCTGGATCGGAAATTTGTGCAAGTTGGGTCGGAATTTTCCGATCCGTGATTTAAGTCCATATCGGAGCCTGATTCCGATACTGGATCAGATCTGCCCCATCCCTACCTGAAACAGCTCTGTATAGTGTGGTTTGAGTCAGCCTATCTGAATGTAGTTTTGTTGCCATGCCAACTCCACGACAGGAAGTGGGTGCACCCCTCAGGTGCAGGGGGAGGATGTGAGTGGACCCACAGTACTTGTGGGGGAGTTACACGATTTTTACTCATGACAAAATAACATGAGGTGATCAGTAAACAGTGTAAGGTAACTTGTATGCTCCACAGAAACACAACTCATCTGAAAAATGGTGGTGTTGCTGGGCATTTAGCTCAGTTTTATGGCTTTTTGTCAGACTCTGAACCAAGAAATGGCTGCAGGCAGTGAAACAGAAGGCAAAAAAACTCTGCAGCAACCAGTGACTCCACCTCCTAGCCAGTCAGCTATAACCACATGACCAGAGCAGCGTTCATCCTACTGATGAACTAGAAATGTTTAACAGACAAATTGGAATTAAATTAGTTTCACAGTAACTGGTAGGAATGTAAGAAAACATTGATACACTGAAATGTTGCAGTATTTTGTGTTCTGCCAAATCAATATTTAAAAGCAATGTTTTGTTTGTTATTTGAGTCTTTACATTAGGGTTGGGTGATGATGGGCTGAGCCGTTGCTGTTGTTTTTACAAGAGGCGATATGTTTATTTGTTTGCATATGAGTATGTTTGTTAATAACAAATATTTTACACATTACGCACAGAGAACATCGCAGAGGTAACAATCAAGGAAAGATCTTCATCAGCGCATCTGAGCATTATCTCGCACTTTCTCCGCCTCTTGCTGCTGACAGCGCGCACGCAAGCAGTGTGCTCAGAGAGCGTCTGTGACCGTGCACAAGAGCGCGGTGTTGAATGGAAAGTGGAAAGCCTTCCATCTTTCAGAGTCTGGTAGACTTCTGCTTATTTCATTTGGAGAAAATTTTCCAGATTTTAAAACTTTGGCTTAAGTAGTGCTTGTTATTCAGCACCTGCTTTGAGTGTGTCAGCGGAGCACAGATTCATCCAGAACATTAAAACATCCACAAGTCTGTCTGAGGAGAAAGTCCAGAACCTCACAACCTCTTTAGCAAGCTCCCTAGAGACATTTGATTATACACAAGCAGCAGGGGACAAGTTCAGATTGACGCAGAGAAGAAGGAATGTGCGTTCAGGCTGCAGCAGGTCAAATGTTCCTTATTTGAGGGAAATTGTTTAATTACATTGTTTCTATGTCACTGGGGCACTCTGTTCAGCTTGTTTGAACTAAATATTAATTGTAAGTGAATGGAAATTGAATTATTATTTTAAAAATTAAGGTGACGGAGATAAATGGATCATGTGGCCGCTGGCAGCGATCAAACGCTCCCTCCTCAAAGAGTCCAAATGCAGCAGCGATTCATTCCATCTACTCAAACTGATAAAAGAAAGTCAGTAGTCTAGTTTTGTTTAAATAAAATACCACAATGGTGGGCACTGTAGGGAAACAAAGACTAGGCTTCTTTTTAACACTTTAAATGTGTTTAATATAGGGCTGCAACTAACGATTATTTTCATAATCGATTAATCTGTCGATTATTTTTTCGATTAATCGATTAATCGGTTTGTTATTGTTTAGCTATTTAACCTATACAAGTGATGAATACATTTCAGTTAAGAAAAAGAAAAACATAAGAGAATTGTGCAGTTGACTGCAATCTATTTTATTGCACATGAACACAGTCAGCGGTGTAAAATGAGCTAAACAGTGCAAAATATCAGTCCAGAATAATTTTTTGGCATCAAAATATAAGAGGTAAATTCCATAAAAAATAATGTAGAATCTGGAATAGAGTTTGTAAGTGGTATGCATTGCTGGGGGTGAGTGTCTTGTTCCCCATGTAGTTGTCCATCGTTGCTAGTTTTTTTCTGCATAAGAAACACAAATAAACTGAATTAAGTACACATATAAAATAAAGCAGCACACACACTACAACACTAAATCAATATTACATTATTTGAATTAATTAACAATATACAGTGATCATTTATTTTGACAAAAATGTGTTGTGAGGCATTTTACAGCGTTAGATAGTAAAACAGCCTTTTAATAGTTAAAAAAAGGACTTTCTGAATTTCTCCTGTATTTAAAAATTGAAAGCGTACAACTATGCCGCGTTATATTCACCTGGACACAGCTCGTCTGTATATTTTTCTCCGCAGAGTTGTCCTTTTTTGAATGAAGAACACAGTTATGGGTTTGTGCCGTTTTTCTCTTAACGAGAACATTCTTATAAACAGACGTGCTAAATTTGGCAAGCGCATGATTCACAACACGGAGGAGATTCACGATTGCATCTAGTCAATCAGAAGTAGAACACCGTAAACTGACGCGGCAAAAAAAACATGTTTAACATCCACTATAACGAACTCAGCTAACACTAAGTCCCAAATGTGATCTGCGTTAGCTTGTTTATTTTCTGTTACTTACCGGACATTCCTCTGCTGCATCAGCCCCCACGTTTTCGTCTCAAATGTTCACTTAGGGACGTCGTGCCATGGTTTTTGCATATTTTGCAGGTCACCGGTCTTTTCAAGGCATCTAGAGTGAAGTGCTCCCATACTCGTGAGGTTTTTGTCCGGGGTTTCTCTTGTTTTGTCGCTTCTATTTTTCTTCCGTATTTCTTGTTGATCCGCCATCTCTCACAGCAAGATGAGCGTCAGTAACGTGATACGTCGTGAAAACCGAGGGCACTTATTGGCTCATTTCTTCTTCTACGGCTCCACTGGTAGATCAGTGGCTCATTACTGCCACACACTGGCGGCAAATTTAACAGATTGTAACCGATGTCAGATTGTGGTAAAAAATAGACTTTATGCGGTAAAATATGATTATTAAACAACTAATCGATGACTAAAAAAGTTGTTAACTATTTTAATAATCGATTATAATCGATTAAATCGATTAGTTGTTTCAGCTCTAGTTTAATACGGGCTGTTTATACTTCCCTCTACCAAACTACAAATACAAAATTAAACAAAAACAAAATCTAAATTTCTCTTCCAGCAAACGTGAGCTGCGCTTCCATTAAAAATAAATCAGCGTTTAAACTTCTGTGTTCACAAGTCAGTCCATGTATCATGTCGTCACAAGCACGAATACGTCGCCCATCGTCATTTTTGGGACTGACGATTGATGGTGGGAAAAATTCTACAAATAGCCCGACCCTGCTTTACATGCAAACATTTACTGTATTTCTTTTGTATGATGAAAGTCAAAGTCTTACCTCTACTGTGCACTAAAAGCATCAGCGGCGCGGAACGGCAGAAGAAAGGTTTACTCACAACAATCGCCGCACTCCAGTGTACACAGGGAGAGTCTCAGCTGCGAACGTCAGCCACGAAGCGGCTTCTCCACTGTGCTCCTCGCTCGACTCACGAGATCACAAAATCCCTCGAGTTTATGCCGTCCACCATTAAACCCAAAAGAGGGAAATAATGTTTGATATCATATGATGTTGTTCCTCCACTGCCAGGATTAAAGACATGAAAACACACAGCTGCACTTCTGGAACGATGCAGGGAGTAAGCCATCATTTGTATTGACATAATCTATATAGATATGAAATTGCATGACTGCAATATACTTTTATTTTGAAAATTATTGGGGATTTTACACTGAAACCATGTGTGATTTCCTGTCTAGCCTTATGTTAACTGCAGAAATTGTCGAGTCCCAGAAGTGGCTTGCGGCTAAAATAGAACCCGATCCTATTTTTAGCGGCTCGGCGAGCTGCTCCTGGAACCCGTCTGAAAATGTCCACAGCTGTGGCTGGTTTGAATCACCCCCGTAGACTCTTAATGGGTTCTATTTGAAACAGTGATGTTCCGCACCGCTGATGCTTCCAGTGTGCAGTAGGCTTTAATTGTGAAATCTGTGTTTTATTATATTGTGAAAGAAATCCTCCTCTAAGAAGAAACGAGTTTTGATTCTGAAGCTGGATCACAGGTCATGATGCTGTTATGATCACATGATTAATGGGTTTGTTACCTTGCAGAGAGCCCAGTCTGAACTGGCTGCCCATCAGAAGAAGATCCTACATGTCGACAACCATATTGGCATCTCCATCGCTGGACTGACAGCTGATGCCAGGCTGCTTTGGTAGGATCATTTACAATTATTAATAATCTGTCCAATTTCACATGGAACTCATGAGGGTGGTTTAGTTAAAGGGACTGTGAGGAAGTTTTTATGCTCACGATCGCCACTCAGGCCTAACGTGTAACGGCAGCTTCAAAAGTAAGCTCGTGCACGAGGCGCGCATGCTGTACGTGCACACTCCTTAACGAAAATAACAGCTGAGACAGGTGTGTGCGTGTGTGTGTGTGTGTGTGTGTGTGTGTGTGTGGGTGTGGGTGGGTGGCCCAGAGGACAGGAGAACACAGCAGCCAATTAATTAACCCTCTGATGCATGAATTATGAAATCTTCAACCATGATTTTTTAAACAATTTTTTTCATTCGTCTTTAGGTGCGAATGAAACAAATTTCAACAAATATTTTTTGTAAAATTTTATAATTTACAAATAATTTATTACATGTCCACCTCAGTGGGCAGCATGCATTCTGAGCATGAAATATGTTGGCTTGGCTTACTGAAGTCCAAACGGAGGGGCTCAAATGCAATAAAGTCTTCAACAGCTGTGCTTAATAGCAAAAACAAATAAATAACAATTTTGAGTACCTGTCCACTGTAATGACCATTATGCATCAAAGGGTTAAGTAATTTGGTTCTGTACCTTTCTCTTCAGCACAGCCAACAAAGGAAAGTAGCTAAGGGTCCTCAGAAATGTAGCTAGCTTTGTCACTAGGTGTTAGGAACAGCGACAAAGTGGCACTGCCCCTCTCTCTGCTGCTAAAGCTACGGATAGCAAATGCTATGGGCTATGCCTGAGCGTGAACGCGCATGAAGCAGCCTGCTCGACCCGAGCATCTCTCTTTTTCTGTGATTTTACAGAAAAACAGGCAATCACAGTAAAAATGCCAGGGCTCATTCTACAGGACCAGGGCATTGCAGGAGAATGTATGAAGAAGAAATTTATTATTTCTATACATGTTTTGACTCAAACTTCCTTATAGTCCCTTTAAGTTGGTTCCAGTACTATTTCGATATCACCGTCTAATCTGCCGAAAGTCTGAGTTACGGTTATGGTCACATTTATTTTCACACGTTCCGCTGCTGTTTCTCACCAGTATCAGCTGATGGAGGACTCTAGTTTCATTGTGCCGTTCGTGTCATCAGACACGTAAGGGTCAGGGAGGGGGGCGGGGCATGACGCTTAGCCTGGCGGGTGGCCAAGCAAAGCCTGGCGGTCCGCCAGGCTTATAAAGTGCTGGGGGAACCCTGAACGGGGCTAAAAGAGATTTTCTAATCTGCTTTGCCTTAGGCCCTGGGTCGCACACATGTTGTACCGCAATTTAAATGGAAAGCAATGATGTGTGTTTCAGCCACTACACTCACGTACTTTGAATTGTATCGGTTTGTAAAAGTTTATTATTAGCATGACTACAAATCAGACGTCGGTACGTCGCATATATGACATCTCCCCTAGCATAGCTGCTACTTACCACATGGCCTGAAGGAAAGATTTGGGTGTTTGCTGAAGTTGCAGCCATTATCCCTCAGCTTTTCTCCGTGTCTGGTTCAATGATGTCACTTTGATTCGTATTTGTAGTCCTAGACTTATTTTCACACAAAACCTAAAATAACTTGCCCTCGTTCGAAGACAAGTGCTTTCTTAGTATCAAAATGTGTCTTTAAAATTCACAGACATTAGGGCTGCACGATATTAGGAAAACCTGCGATATTCGATAACAGTGCTTAATATTGCAATATCGATATTACTCACGATAAATGAACAAATACTAAAGTATGCAGTGTTGATGTCGTCTGGCGTGTGACGTCTGCTCTGGGTTCAAAGCAAACAAAAACTAATGCATGAATTCCATTACAACATAACATTTTTATTGCAAAAATATGCAGCTGCACCTGCTGCTGTATTAGCAGCAAAACAACAAACTGCATGCATGCAGTTTCTCAGTGACTTTAAAACATCACCTCCACCATAAAACCTTTTCTGATGCTCCAAATACAGAAAAATATCCCTTACCAGGGTTTTCTGAAGAAATAAAAACATCAGAAAATAAGTTTAAATGTTAAATAATAGTTAACATCACTTAAATGCAACAGCAAATTCTCTCATTGCTACTGAACATTTTCTCCACTTATGTGGTTATGATAGAAGGCTGTTGCTACAATTGGGAAGTGAACTGTGCTGGGCCAAACTAGGAGAACATTAAGATTTTCTGAGGGAAAGAGAAAAACAATTGTCTACCTTTCAGAAGAGGAACTGGCAAAAAAAACTACATGGAAAATATGTGAAAACGTTTGGTTTTAACCCCAAATTGAACAAGTTCACCTAGATCTTAAAAGCAGCTCAGATGATGAAACTGCAACTATGATTCTGATAACAAGCTAACTAATTGAACTAGCTCCTCTAAGATAAGCGGCTAGCAGAGCTTCTGACTGACAGTTTATGTGCAGCAGCAAATCAACTATCCTGATTAACAAGGTCATAAAAGCTCATAAAGGAAAAATCACTTTGATGTGTGGGGGAACTTTTCCAGGCCCTCTTTAGCAGGGTGGGACTGGGAGGAGAGTGCTGTAGCCTTTTAGCTGGAAGCTAACCGAAGCCTGGGGCTAACACTAGTGACATGAAGGTGGGTTGGTTCACCGGCACGTGTCGGAGTCAGCCCGGTAAAAATGATTAACGACACCGAGCGGACTCACGTTCACATTTGAAAGCAGCGCTGAGTCCAGAAACATCAGCACAAAGTGTGTTTGTTGCTCTGAGCCAGCATGACACCGAACTCTATCGGTCATTTCCACCAGACAACCACACTGTCTCTGCATGAATATCAAGCTGTCTCTCTGACATATCAAAATGGATGAAATCCCACCATCTCTAATTCAATCTCTCTAAAACTGAACTACTTGTCATCCCAGCAAAACCATCCATACAGCACAATATCTCAATCCAAAATGACTTCCTATCTCTGGCTCCTTCAAAGGCAGTTCGAAATCTGGGTGTTGTGATTGATGAACACCTGACCTTAAAGATCATGTTGCCTCTGTTGCTCGTTCATGCCGCTTTGCGCTGTAAAACATAGGAAAGATCAGACCATACCTGACACAACATGCCACCCAGCTCCTGGTGCAATCTACTGTCATCTCCTGCCTCGATTACTGCAACGCCCTTCTAACTGGTCTTCCAGGCTGTACTGTGAGACCTCTTCAAATGGTCCAGAACGCAGCGGCGCGTCTGGTCTTCAATCAGCCAAAAAGAGCACACGTCACCCCTCTGTTCATTGAGCTCCACTGGCTACCGCTAGCAGTACGCATCAAATTCAAATGGCTAACACTAGCATACAAAGTCCGAGATGGTACGGCTCCCATCTACCTGAGTCCTCTTGCAAAGGCTTACGTCTCGGCCCGGCCGCTCCGGTCATCACAGGATTGTCGGCTAGCAGTGCCTACACCACGCTCAGGACAATCCAGACTCTTCTCATGCATCGTTCCACACATGTGGAATGACCTTCCAAGCACTACCAGAACTGCAGCTTCCTTTTCAATTTTCAAGAAACTCCTGAAGACCCGGCTCTTCAGAGAGCTAAACTAGCACTCTCCCTGCACCCGTTCCCCCTCTCCATGACTGATGTCAACGTTGTTGTTGTTATTGTTGTTAGCCTCAAGGGCAACATGCCGATTATCACTTGTAAGTCGCTTTGGACAAAAGCGTCTGCTAAATACATAAACATAAACATGACGAACAAGGGAACGGCGCCACTAACTCAGTTCGGGTGTTGCTTTCCATTCTAAGGGTCTACGTAGGGGGCGGGCGTATTACGTGAACGGACCTATCTGATTGGCCGCATATCAGAAAGGCTACATTTGATTGGTCAAATAGTACTTCCGAGTAAAAAACAGAGCTGGTTTACAAAAAGTTGATGTATGACACGGATGGAAATGTTGAACCAAACATTTATCGCTGTTTTTGGCGTGTTTTGCGATGGGCCTATCGCATGTCCTGTTATCCCGATGATGATACTTTGTTCGATATATTGTGCAGCCCTAACAGACATCATATGTGAAATCAATGGTACATAACAAGCAGGTATAGAAAGTAGCGTTTTTATCCCCCATTGACTTGCATTCATTTCTTCATTCTGCCAATGGCCCATGGTCCAGAAGTAGATGGGAGTGACTTAGGCACCTATTTGTTGTAAAAATGCAGCATAAAGCTGATCATTGATTACTTTAAGAAATAAAAGCTTGTTCTGTAATAAAAATTAAATATTTGATTGTGAAGTACATGTTTTTGTTTTAATAATAAATGGACCTTTGTAGTGACTCATTATGATCCTAAAATCCACCTGTAGCTGTCAGGGCTCTGCTGTTTCAGGAAATCGACATTTGCAGATTTTAGAGGTAGTACTTAAGGATGACTCTTCTGGAGTCGACACGTTTTCATCCTATAGCCTTGACTCAAAAAGGCTCAATAATTACAAAATAGCAACTTCCTGGAAGGTCTGGTTAAATCTGGCTTCAGACTAATTCTGAATGAAGTGGTGAAGGACGTCAGCGTCTCAGCGCAGGCGATGGATGGGTGTCTCTGCTGGTGGTGACCTCACCCGTCTGCTAGCCCCAGGGCAGCTGTGCTTCATAACCATCAGTGCATGAATGGGTCAGTGACTGGATGTGTTGTGAAGCACCTTGGGGGGGTATATAAATACAGTGCTGTTTACCTGATTGAAACCATCTTTTGCATTCTCACACTCCGCAAGGCTGAGTAGACTAACACCAATCATCTTCTCTCTTCCAGTAACTTCATGCGGCAGGAGTGCTTGGACTCTAGATTCGTCTTTGATCGTCCCCTACCAATTTCACGTCTCGTTTCTCTTGTCGGCAGCAGTATCCTTCAGACCTTTGACCTTCTCTAATGCTGGTATACCTGTTCCAAGTCCATGCTGCTTTTATTAGGTTGTAAACACTAGCGATGGTCTTTAACTGAAACCCCAGAAACCCAAATCCCCACACAGAGGTATGGGAGGAGGCCCTATGGTGTTGGACTCCTCATTGCTGGCTTTGATGTAAGTTTATCCTCACGCTATGTTTACTCGCGTTGAGTATCATGCTGCTCGCTAAAGTGTTTACTCTCCATCACACAGGACATGGGACCGCACATCTTTCAGACCTGCCCATCAGCAAACTACTTTGACTGCAGGGCCATGTCCATCGGAGCACGCTCTCAGTCTGCTCGTACCTACCTGGAAAGGCTCATGGACAAATTCTCTGACTGTAGGAACCTGCTTTTTATTCCTCGTCCTCCTTCACACCTCAGCACATGCCTCAAAAAAGGCTTCATGCCAAAGTCAGTCAGAACATATCAACACTCGCACTGTAGGATGACAACAGGGGTTGTTGTCTATCACAGCTCCATGGACACAATGTTGATTTCTCGTTTTCACAGGTTTTGTCAGATTTGAATGATGAGATCAGCAAACAAGCACCAACATAAAAGAACATCTGAGTATCACAGAGGGCAGTCTGACAACTCCATTTGGTTTTTACTCTGGTTAGATTTGGTCTGATGTGAAATCTGATGTGAGAGAAAATTAAAGAACTAAAGAAATCTGCTGCAGGCCTTTTCACTGCCTTGTTTTCTAGTTTCATCACCAGTTCTGTCACACTGACGAGTTTGTTTTGTTTCCAGGTAATCTGAATGACCTGGTCCAACATGGCCTTCGTGCTCTGAGAGAAACGCTCCCCGCCGAGCAGGACCTCACCACCAAGGTACCGATCTCTCCTTCCCCCCAGCTTTAACTCCGCAACCACGTTCTAAAACGTTGGTGTGCTGTAGCCGGTCACCATCCAGCAGCATGAGAAGGTTTTGTGGAAAGCAGTTGTATTATGTAATGCTCACTTTTTATGGCTATGGCTGACCATTTGTGTGTTTTGAACCTACAGATGTCTGTATATCAGTGAGTGAGGCGTTTCTGAGCTATGTGCTTGATCTTTTTAGAATGTTTCCATTGGCATTGTGGGTAAGGACATGGAGTTCACCATTTATGACGACGATGATGTTGCTCCATTCCTGGAAGGGCTGGAGGAGAGGCCGCAGAGAAAGGTACACCAAGGATCTCACTTCAGGACATTTAATCAGAGAAAACACTTGCTTGCCTTAAAAATCACATTTTGTCCCATTTTAAAATCTAACCTTGATTTGAAAAATCTTCATTGCTGCAGGTTGCTCAGCCTGCAGTTGAACCTGGTGCTGGAGAAGCACCTGATGAGCCGATGGAGCACTGAGGCAACAAGACCCCCGGACACCTGGTTCCTGTCAGACCATCCTGAAGACCCTTCATTTGAGGATCCCTCAGACGGGAAGGTTGTTGTCATGTGCCACTCGCTAAACTGTTCATTCAGAATGAGTCTTTGCTTGCATCAACCCACTTGATGCTGCTTTTGTATGGGTAAAATGTACCATTCTATGAGTAATAAACCCAATTTTTTTTGAGCTGTGTTTCTGTTTCCCTTTGAAATGTCCCTCGGTGCAGCTGCGTTTTTTTCTAGAATTTAATTATTGTAATTAAAGATGAACTATGTAAGAATTGGACAGTAAAATAACCACAAAACAGTCCAGTGTGTCTATCGCATTGCAGGGAAGGTTACAACGACAAAATCTCCTTTTCAGCTGGATGGGGAAATGCCAGGTTTTCTGTTTTCAACAAAGGCCGGGTCGTGGCAACCTTTCCGTTAACAAAATATTGAGTTAAAGTTCATTTAAATTCGATTTGTTATGAACTGAAAATGACAGAACCTGGAAATAACCCAACAGGACTTGAGAAAATGGCCTGCACTATATAAAGTATCTTCATATTGCTAGTTTCTTTCTCTGGAGTCATTTGTGCCCATGAGTCCAGTCATTAATTTGAGTAAGTATTTGGACCTGAGTCTAGTCCGGGGGTCGGCAACCCGCGGCTCTGGAGCCGCATGCGGCTCTTCCATCCATCTAATGCGGCTCTCTGTGCTTGTAAAATAATGAATGGATATTTAAATAAAATGCTTTATATTTTACTGCATTAATTTTATATCTGTATGCCAGTTCTAAATGTAAAGATTGTCTGCGTAAACCTGAACAGGTCCAACCCAGTCTTACTGTGACACCGGGTTGACGGGTCACGCTTGTGCGTAATCATATGTGCTTTAAGGAAAGCCAGAACCGCCAAAATACGCCACTTTCCCAACCCGTCTAGTTTAGAGATGGCGAAAAAAAAACGCCGTTTGATGTGTCAAGACGTCGTAAAACATAGCGAAAACTCCCAGAACGCCGTATTTGACACCAGCCAGAGCCGTTCTTAATGGTTCCGTAGAACGCCGGAAAAAATGACGTTTTTTTTCCGGACATTGAACGCCGTTTTTTACTTCACCCTAATCCAGGGGTCGGCAACCTGTTCCCATCAAAGAGCCAGTATTACCCGTTTCCCACAATAAAGAAAACACTGGGAGCTACAGCAGCCGCGGCGTTGTGGGCGGGGCCTACCCTCAGACAGCTTTAACCAATTACAACAGGTGACAGCAGCCGGTACCGGTCGCTCGTGTACGTCAAAGCTATCAATAGAAGATAATCAATAAAACGATTTATATAAAGTGGATCCAGAAGTTGTAGCCCGTCTCTGCCTACAATATTTTGATATTTTTCACCCTGTTGGTGGTTTTACTGAGCAGGTGCCACTTTTGTCATACGTTTCTTTTTAAAACATGTTTAGACTGTTCAGAATACAAGTCCAGGCTCTGTCACGTTTGATTGTTGTAATTAAACTTTGTAGGTGGGGAAGGTCAGAAAAGGATCCGATCATTTTGTTTTTCCCTCATTTACAGTGATGGAGATAATGGTGTGCTGCAACTGGCTCTGGTGTTAATCAAGTTTAATTTAATCTATTTTCAACAATTTTCACAAGAAAACAGAACAGTTAAAAGCAGGGCTTGTGTTGACCGGACAGTTCCCATATTTGGCCGTTTATTTTGACGGACATAAACAGCCATTTACAGTATTGATGCATAAAATGTAAATAGTAGGAACTTGAAGTAATCAATTGTAAATAACTTCACTTTATTTTATTATTATAGTTTGAAGAATGCCGTAACTGTGAAAATCAGTGCAGATTATACATGTGCAACACTGTTAAACCATTTTCAGTGAGATAATTGTAATTTTTCCATGGGTTTAATGAAAAGGAAAAAGCTGACTAATCACAGAAATAATGATTAGTTGATTAGAAACAAGTGCTCATCTAGAACATTTGAAATTTGTGTTACAGCAGTTCATGTTTTCAACTTAAATATCAAAATATTATAGAAAGTTAGCAAATCGGTAGCAAGTATGCAGGTGCTTCAGTATTGTAGTGGGCATAATCATCAACAGACACGTTTGTTTTATAAGAGGTTGAAAGTAATTTGTTTTAACCAGCATTTCAGGATCATGAGGACATTCTCAGAGTCATGTCTTGGTGAAGCAGCAATGAAAAACGTGTTTCTTGAAATATTTATGTAAATAAAAACATTCAAGAGCATATTTTAACCAAGAAAGCTCATTAGCAAATTCTAGTTTAGGCTTCTATAGGAGAACAACAAGCAGACATGTTTCAGACTTCTTAGGTGTGTTCTTGCTGTGTCTTTCTAAATCCATGCTTTCGTTCTTTTTTAAACACAGAAACAGTTTTGTTTACCTGTTTGTAGCTACAGTTTCGCCGACGGCTGCCGGCTTCTTCAGGCTGACGCTGATGGTGGCGCGTCACTTCCTTCTCCGTTTATCTGCGAGCAGCAGATTGTTTAATTACAACAATCAAACGTGACAGAGCCTGGACTTGTATTCTGAACAGTCTAAACATGTTTTAAAAAGAAACGTATGACAAAAGTGGCACCTGCTCAGTAAAACCACCAACAGGGTGAAAAATATCAAAATATTGTAGGCAGAGACGGGCTACAACTTCTGGATCCACTTTATTAAATCGTTTTATTGATTATCTTCTATTGATAGCTTTGACGTACACGAGTGACCAGTACCGGCTGCTGTCACCTGTTGTGAGCAGCTCTCTGCTGTCTGAGGGTAGGCCCCGCCCACAACGCCGCGGCTGCTGTGGCTCCCAGCGTTTTCTTTACTGTGGGAAATGGGTAATAATGGCTCTTTGATGGGAACAGGTTGCCGACCCCTGGTCTAGTCAGTATGGACATGAGCACAAGTCAACATTTTTATAGTCTAGACATTTAGACAAACTAACCGCGGCCTACTGGAGCCTCAGCAGGTCTACCATTAGTCTAAACATTTTTATGTCATTCCAATCAGCGCTCGATGTAGAGGAATGATGGGCAGGCTTAGCACCAGAGCTGTAATGGAGAAAAACTGCAAAGATGGCATCAGCTCAGGAGCGATCTTGTTTGAAGCGACTTTTGCTTCAAATTTGGTTGATTTAGACTGGGTGTGACTGTCCTGTTGACAGGTTTCCATAGTGATGACTATTTCACAATGTTCGTTTCTCAGATTGGTCCTACCACTGTTCGACTGCATGTAGAGACAGTTTGAAATACATCCGTAGATTCTGCCCCATGGCTGAGCCCTTTCTGTGGAATGTGGCTAGACTGGATATTTACCAGAAGTGTGGACTCGAGTCACGTCTTGGACTCAAGTCATTATTTTAATGACTTCTGACTTGACTTGATAAAAATCTATAAACGCTTATGACTTGACTTGCACTTGAACTCCAATGGCTTGCGACTTGAATTGACTTGCATCTGTTGACTTGATAACTTGAGCGTATTTTATATTTTAGCACAAAAGTGGCACGACATGGACAGAAATCATGACTCATGCTTGGTTCTGGGTTTGATCTTGTTAAAAGCATCAGCACTTTGTTTAGAATCAGTTCCAGTTGCACTTTCTGCTTGTTTGAACAAACAAACAACGCTTTAAGAAGCTTCATTTCTGGAATTTATTTATTATCATTGTCATTAAATGAAAGTTAGACAGATGACGATTATGACTTGAAAATTCAAAGTTAAAGACTTGGACTTGACCTGGACTTCCACATCATTGACTTTGGACTCTACTTGGACGTCTTTGACTTAGACTTGACTTGAGACATGACTGGAAAGACTTGTGGCTTACTCATGACTTGCAAAGCTGACTTGGTCACACCTCTGATATTTACATAATGGGATGGATTGCCCAGATATCTAAACGTCTGTTATGGGACACTTCGCTTTAGAAGCATTAATAATCTGCTGCTCTAACAATAAAATTAAAATGCTGAGGACAACGGTAAACTGTTGTTTCCAGAATGAAGCTGGAATTCCACGAATAAAGTCATTAAAAGGTCATCAACAAAAACAGCACGGACCCACGTCTTCAATAAACACACCGTTGTAACTTTGCATTTCACAATAAATTTTATTGATATGTTTTGTTTTAGCGGCCCATCTGTTCTCTTCTGCTTATCGGAGGTTGGGTCGTGGGAGCAGCAGCCTGAGGAGAAAGGCCCAGACTTCCCTCACTCAGCCATTTGGGCAACACTTCTGGGGGAATCCCAAGAGACATAAACCCTCCATCATATCCTGGGTCTTCCTTTAGGTCTCCTCCCAGTTAGACGTGCGTGGAAAACCTCACCAGGAGGCATCCTAATCAGATGCCCGAGCCACCACAACTCTCGATGTGGAGGAGCAGCAGGTCTACTCATGTGTTTCCTATATAAGGAACCCAGCAAATTGCATCGAGTCACTGACTAGTGTCAGAGTCTTTACCGCAATCCTCATACTAAGCAAGCATTTAGCGACAGTGGAGAGGAAAACTCCCTTTTAACAGGAAGAAACCTCCAGAGAATCCTGGCTCAGTATAAGCAGCCATCCTCCACGACTCACTGGGGATCGAGAAGACAGAGCACACACACACACACACACACTCACAAAGACTAGTAATGTGTCTATGGTTATATTGTGATGTCTTAGTAAATATTCTATTTGGTGAAAGATAAACTTGTATTAATCCTAGTGGATCTATAATTAAACGGGTAAACTAGTAGTAGCACATCCAACGTCAAGGAAAGCAAAAAGCTACTATCAGGAGAGGAAGAATGTTTTAGTGGTTAGCAGCAGTGTGCTAGTCGATGGCCCCCTCCATGAGGCCACCACAGCTCAGCAGAACATCGTTTTAGCTTCTTCTGGGGAGAAAAACACTTAGAGAGAAAATAAAGTTAACAGCTGAAATAGCAGAAAATAATACAGTTAAAGAGCAGATTGTAGAAGAAAGCAGTAGAGTGTGAAAAGTGGTCAGTATGTCCTCCAGCAGTCTAAGCCTATAGCAGCATAACTACAGAGATAACTCCGGATAATATATCCTATTTAGATGGAGGCATGTTGGAGGCAGGACAAGGGAGAGCCGTCTTTACCGACTGTACACTCCACCTCCCTCTACTCCCCCACTTGTCCAGATTTAGGCTAACATCAGATTTTAACCATAGGCCCTATCAAATAAAAATGTTTTAAGCCTATTCTTAAAAGTAGACAAAGTGTCTGCCTCACGGACTAAAGCTGGGAGTTGGTTCCACAGGAGAGGAGCCTGATAACTAAAAGATCTGCCTCCCATCCTAATTTTAGATATTCTGGGAACCACCAGTAGACCTGCAGTCTGAGAGCGAAGTGCTCGGTTAGGAACGTATGGAACAATCAGATCACTGATGTATGATGGATGCCGGGTCTGGGTCAGCCTGACGAATTTTGCAGCCGCAAACAAAACATAGCAGGAAAACAGGTAAACAAAACTGCTCTGTGTTTTAAAAAAGAACTACAGCATGGAATTAGAGATACGACACAGCAAGAACACACCTAAGATGTATGATGGAGCTTGATTATTAAGAGCTTTATGTGTAAGAAGGAGGATCTTAAAATCTATTCTGAATTTACCAGTCGGTCACTACCCAAAGCTCGTGACCATAGGTGAGGGTAGGAACGTAGACCGACCGCTAAGTCGAGAGCTTTGTCTTATGGCTCAGCTCTCTTCACCATGACAGACCCACAATGCCCGCATCACTGCAGACGCAGCACCTATCCACTTATCAACAGGTGGATAGTTTTAGTCGTTTAAATATTCAGTTCAGGTTTCAGCCTGAGTTTTACCAGAGAACAATAAATTGTTCTTAGCTTCAGATGTTCTGAAGAGTTTGTGGCTCACTGGGTTGTGGAATCGATCACCCAGAACCAACGGCTGCAATAAAAGAACAGCAATTCCATAAAGCACATCAGCTTTTTTTCTTCTGAATTCACTTTCAATGTTTTCTCAACCTATGACTTTTATTTCTAAACATCTCAACTTCAATCCCAACATGCCGTCACACTCCACGCAGAACGCCAAATACTGCTGTTTCTGTCATTTATGCATTTTAGGAACTCTTGGAAAACCTTTTTAAAGAATCCCAAAAAGAAATAGACATTTTATGTTAATTAAATAAAAAAATGTGATTTTATTCTGCTTTACATTTATTTTTGAAATTCACATCTAAGTTTAATAACTTACAGAGTTATAATACATGTTTGAACAGATCCAGTGAGTGGTGTGTGCATGCTGTCCATCCCTGCTGACCTTTTCTACATCTGGAGCACTTCGATGCTGTAAAACAACATGGTGCTGACCATGTGGTGATCTACGACACACGCAGCTGCTGGTCTTCCTGTGTCTGATAACATCGATCCTTCTAAGCAGAACCAGGATCAGGTTTCTCTCATCCCTTCAGTCACAGTGCGTGGCTTTCTTCGTCCTTTTCTTGTGCCTCCGTCTGACCGAGCCGCAGGACATTTGTGTCCCCGCCGGTCGGATGATGTCCTCTGGTGTCCCCTGCTCCAACACTGAGGTGGTTTTTAGAATGAGCTCCAACTCCTGAAGGACTTGAGCTTGTTGCTCCTCCTGGAATTCTGGATCCCTGTGACCACCTTCTTCCTTTATCTCGTTGGCATCCTGTTTCTGCTCCACTTCCACGTGTCTCTGTGGAATCACATCTGCTGCAGAAGCAGGCTCCTGCATGATGTCTGCACCCAGACCACCTGATCCTGTCACCTGATCAGGAAGGTTTTCCACCTCCGTTCTCTCTAACTGAGCTTCTGCCGCACCGTGCTGACAACAGCAGGGGCCGTGTTCCCAGTATGGTGAAGGTTCTTCAGGATAATCTGCTTAAAAGAAATAAAATGTGTGTTCTTTTCTCAGCCAAAGCCCATCTGTCTGAAAGATGGTGCAGCATTTACCTTCCCAGTCTTCTTCTGGAGTCTTCTTCTCATGAACGATCCCCTCCACCAGCTGGCCCTCCTGCATCACACGAGTTATCTCCGTCAGCTGCTGCAGGAGACTCTCCTCTTGGTCTGGCATCACCCCTTTCACCCTGCAGAGCAAACATCTCATCTGTGCTTTCTGCCTCAGCACAATAAAAAAGCACATCTTCACCTTTACCACGTTGCACACAAAACAAATCTGAAATGTTTCCGGTTTTACCATCGTCTGACTTTAGCTGCTGTTCAGGCTCTTAACACTGACCCTTTTGTTGCCTGGAACATTCTACGACACGTTCGTAAGCAGGATGGACCCAAAAAACACCTAAACCTTCCTCTGCCTTTTCTCCTCCAAGCCACGTGACGTAGCGTAGGTGACAGGTAAGTGCACACCCACCTGTCAGGACTGTGGTGGGCCGTGGAGACGATTTTCTCCATCACGAGCTCCGTCTCCCTCAGCTTCTCCTGCAGCTGGGCCAGCTCAAAGTCCGCTGGGAGAAACAGAAGAATAGGAAGGGAAATGGTCACCACTCATTGTTGGATCTTTGGTTTTATACCTTTATGATCCAGATGTTTGTGTAAAGGATGACTTCATCATCTCATAATGACTGCACAGCTTTTAAAACTGGCACATGTGTCTAAACGTTCAAAAATAAATGCGCAGAACAGCAGAAATGAGATGCAAACTAAACAGAAAGCAGAGGTGGAGCTTACTGATCTTCCTCTTCATGTTCTCAGAGCGAACGGGAGGAAACCTTCCTTCTGACGGCTTGCTGCTGCCTTTAGATGTGATCTACCAGGAAAAAAATATGATTATGAGTTTTAAAACCCTATTTCTTCTTTTACAATTAAGAGAAACACTTCTGACTTTGAACAGAGAGCTACAACTCTGTGAAAAGTATTCGTCCCCTCATAGAGTTCTTCTTTTGTCATTTAAATGTTTCAGAACAGCAACAGATCTGAATATCTGACGAAGAGACCTGAGTAACAGAACAGTTTTTAAATGATGTTTTCTATTGCTGACCACCCTGGTCCTGAGTGGAAAAGTCACCTCTGAACCATATGAGGCCCGCAGGGCTTCAAATCACCTGGGTTCCTTTAAAACGGGCCATGGTGTGTTTGCTTTTTGAGATCTTTTAGCCCACCTCATGTTGGCACACAGCTTCTATGAAGAGGTTTAATATTTCTACACGTCTTTGGTAGGACTGAACTCCGTTTTACTAATGTCCAGGGGCCTCATTTATCAAGCTTGCTTACACACAAAACAGGCTTGGAAAACTGCGTAAGCAACTTTCCACGCAAACTTTGGGATTTATGAAAGAAAACTTAGCAGAAAAATGTGCGTAACTTTAGGCTGACTAAGGACCTGGCTTACACACATGTTGGACATGGAGAGCACCTGCAGTGCTGCTGCTGAGAAGATACAGTTATGAAATCCTGCAGCATTATCACTTGTAGGCCCCTTGTTATATTTTTACCTTAAACAGAATGTAGAGGATGTAGAGTAAGATGCCGAAACCGTACACCGGGATGATCTGTCCTGCCAGGTTGGATTTGCCTCCAGTTCCTGCCCCTGTGCCAGCTCCTTTGGCCCTGGTGACTGGGCCACCGGACCCTGCGGTCCTCTGGCCTCGGCTCTCTGGGGCCACCTGACGGTGCATCATGGGAGGAAACTGACCCGAACCTGCTGAGAAATGATAAAGAGCATCACAGAGGAGAAGGCGCCTGATTCAACACAACCCTGAATATTCCATAATTTGGTTCCTGCTTCATAGTTAAAAGATTAGGAAGATGGAGGCCTTTACTGACTCGGTTAGTTTAGGGATAAACTTGTTCCGGCTGCATCTGTGAGAATTCTTGACAATGGTGACTTTATTTAAACTGGTGAGCTATGTAGCATGTTAGCTAGCAGCATAGGGGGTCTGTGAGAATCACTTTTTGTCTCTTTTCTCTATCAGTACTGTTACAAAGTAATAGAAAAAGGCTATTATTTGGTTTTCCACAAAATGGTAATTGAGTAAAACTGTATAGATTGTTTTGGATGCTTTTGAAGCGTTATTTAGTCTGGTAATGTTACAGCATTTACTCTGAGATTTTCTATTACTGTGAAGCGCCTTTTTGAAGGCACCATACAAGAAAAAAAAACTCTTCTTCTACTAAATACCTTGAAATGAAATGTTGTGAAGCTGATTGAATTGTGGGAGGTTTTACAAGATGTAATTTGTTTATGTAGCTTTTAGATTACAAACCAAAAATCACAGTGATTTTTAAATAATTCGTCAGTGAGCAAAAATTAAACAAAATCTCTTAATAATTGTAATAAATAAAGTTAATGTGATGACAATGAACACAATGAAACATGAAATCTTGTATTGATGGTGGATAACTGCAGCTAACATCCTGCAGGAGTCTGTGCTGCATGCTCCAGCCCCAGCAGTGATAGTTCTGTTTAATGAGACAGCTGGTGAAAATGATGTGTAAATAAGTACGAATGCATGTAGACCTGCATAATTAAGCAAAACTGAAACGCTCCGTTTCCAACCTTTTAAATGTGTGCCACCGTAGAAAAATACTTTCCTCTTTAATACTCGTTTAAAGCGTACACGGTGCGTCTATTTTCTTTGTTTCTTGCACATATTCAGACAGCGCGCGTTGGCTCAGATGAGTAAGGCACGTATTTAGATTTTTGGCGCAACCACCGGGGAGGAGAGTGAACCTACAGGCACGATCTGGCGCTTACATAAACAGGTAAACCTTAGTAGCAGCTGTAATAACAGCCTCCTCCCGGCTGACCCAGCAGCTAACGGGGAGCAGTAGGGCCGCTAACACGCGGAGGGGCAACCGGAATGGCGACGCACCTTCAGGGGCAGCATCCTTCCTCCCCCTCGATAGCAGCATCTTGGGAAGCAGCAGCGCGACACACAGCAGCAGGCACGTCGCCAGAGTCACCTTCTGAAACATGGACATGGCCATGCTGGTGGGTGATAATGGTCTTACAGCCGCGGAAGGACGGTGAGAGAAGGTTGCGTTTAGGGGACAGCCCGGAGCACTTCCTCGAGAACCGGGGGGTCGGAAGTACACCGGAGCGGTGATTAATGCAAATCGCCGCCAGGTGGCGCCAAATCCACGCGTTTTGATTCAGCTTTTCAAACTGGAGCGAGAAAACTGTTTCTACTCTGGTAGAGAAGGTTTCCAACATCTGTGACACCAAGCGCAGCATACCCAAGGAGATTCCTCCTGTTTCCACAGCTGACAGGAATGACGAAATGAGATGAAACAATGGCGCGAATCGAGCTTAAACAGAAAAACCATGTGGAGAATCCCCATTTCTGTTTCTACCTTCTACCATAGAAACATTTACATCTACCAGCGAGGAGGTCCTGCTCCACACATGTGATGTATTGAGATTTGTATATGCGGGCACTCGTAGCTGGGGGGTGGAGCATAAGAGGACTGTGTTCAAGATGGCTGTAACATGTGAGGCTAGGAGCAAGAGATAAAGTTGATTCACTTAAACAACTGGTGGTCCTGATTCATTAATACGACATGGTGTCAGAAGAATAAACGGAAAGAAAATGGCACAGTTTCAGCCTCTACAGAACCTCAGTTTGCAAGGCAACCTTGCGGAGAATTGGAGAACCTGGCTGCAACGCTTCGAGCTGTTCTGCACCGCCAGCGGCACAGCGGAGAAGGGGGAAAAGGTGCAATGCGCAACATTCCTACACGTGGCCGGGGAAAAAGCCATAAAAGTATGTAATACTTTTCATTTCTCTGTAGAGGAAAAAGATAAAATCGCTGTGCTAAAGAAGAAGTTTCAGGACTACTGTGAGCCAAGGAAAAATTTTACCATACATCAGGCCAGGGCCAGATTAACACTTTGTTGTACCCTGGGCAACAATATTCAAGGGCCCCATCATCACGACCCGAGGATCACCATAATGTGGTCACATACAGAATATTTTACTGTAATATGCAGTAAATATACTCAATATTTGAATGCCTGACATCACGTAACCCGCCCAGAGTAACCTTTGACCCACCTTGTGTGGACTGACCAATGAGGAGAGGGTTTTAACTTGAGGCCCTCTCTTCATTGGTCAGTCTGCATGAGACTGACTCTCAACTGACGTTCAGTCATAGGCAGCGAAGCGTCTCTGTGCAGCGCAAAAGCCCGGGTGGACAGTTTGTTTAATATAGGGTGACCATATTTCCATTTCCAAACAAGAGAACAGGGGATCTGTGCCTATGACGTCACACTATGGCAACGCCACACAAACCACGTTGGGACCCAATTTTTGTAAGAACTAAATTAATATCAGATTCTGCCAATAAAAGGGCTCTAAAACAATTCGTATGTAAATATTTAGCATGTTTACTGCAAAATCTCATTTTTCTGCTTTAGTGCTGCAACAAGGTTTTATTAATAATAAATTATTAAATCTTTTGTTTTACTACAGCATCGGTATGCTTCCTGTGCACAGATTATTAAGGATGCTTGTTTCAGCTGTGAGATTAGACGATAGGATCAATGATAAAATAAGTTGTCCCACACTCCATGGAAACTTTCAGAGAATCCACTAATAGTGGCTTTCAAATGGTTTTGTTACTTTTAGCAAGTTTAGAAAAGCAGCAGATGAGACAGCATGTCTGATAATTTAGTTTTTCATCTGATAATATTAGAACATGTCAGTAATGTCTGAGGGGCTTTTATAAACACTGTATAACTAACACTCCTGGAGAGGGTATGGATTACACAGAGGCTTCTGGGGAGCCCAGTTATAGGGGGGTGGGGGTGGTCATTTTGCCTTGGCCCCCAAAATGCCTTGAAACGGCCCTGGGTGTGTGACTGAGTTTTGAAGGTGATCTGAATTGTATCAGATGTATAAATATGACATGTGTAGAACTTATTGTTTTATACAGGTAAAAATGTGTAGTGGAGATAAATCTACCTACATTTTACTTTTCAACACTTTGTTTTGTTTTCTTGTTTTTATTGAACTATTTCCTGTCCTGTTTGTCTCTCATCTTCCTGCATCTCCTCTAAACTCTCCAGAAAATCTGCTGCCTAGATTCTTACTTTTCCATCTCATCAGCTACTTTTCAGCAGATCAAAGGGATCTTCTGACCGCAAAGCGGAGTGCGCCTTTCGTTGCTGTGTCAGTGAGGTGAAATCACCGCAGCACCGCGCAGCACAGGTGATGAGCTGCGCAGTAGCAGAGTGCTTCAGGCACAAATAAGACAGAAAATAGAGAACATGTGCGGACATGAACAATCGTGTGCTAATTATAGGTTTTTGGTTGCGCCACTTTGAGAATGGACCGTGCGCTGGACGCAGCAGCCTGGAGCGCTGCGCAACAATGCGCTGTGCCGCTCTCTGTGCTCTCTGCTCTAAAGAGTCCATAAATGATGTAATATAGGTAGAAAACTTTTTTCCGGCTCCCCTGGATGTGTAGGATATCCAGCTCCTCCATAATTCGATCCCTGCTCCTGGATGAAAATCCGGACATTTTCATCAATACAAGAACTCCCAGTCCGGACGCCCCGGACAGAGAGTGAAAAGTGGACATGTCCGGGGAAAACCGGACGTACGGTCACCCTAGTTTAATATAAAGCGGGAGATTACAGATAGGCCTACAGTATTTTGCTTGTGCCCTTGCTGCCCTGGGCCCCTTAGAGTTCTTGGGGTTGACGGCTCACTTGACCGCGGTGGCCCTGGGCAATTGCCCAGTTGCCCATATGGTTAATCCGGCCTTGCGTCAGGCACATGTTTTTCACGAGAGCACAGAAACAAGCTGAAAGCATCGATGCATATGTAATGGAACTAAAAAATAAAGCTAAAGACTGTGAGTTTGGTGATCTACACGACTCTTTGATACGGGACTGAATAGTCTGCGGCATAATCAATGATCGAGTGAGAGGAAGGCTGCTGAGAGAAGCTGATTTGACATTGGATAAAGCTATAGATGTATGCCGGGCAAGTGAGATCACAACCAGTCAAGTGAAAGCTCTTACTCCAGATCTGTTTGATGGACTTGGGTGTTTGCCAAATCAGCACCACATACAGATAGATCACACAGTTAAACCTGTAGTGCACGCTCCCAGAAAGATTCCAGTTGCAATAAGGGACAGAGTAGTGCAGGAACTACATCGGATGGAGAGTATGGGAGTTATAACAAGGCAGATGGAGCCAACAGAGTGGGTCAACAGTATGGTTACCGTGGTTACACCAAACAAGATATGCATCTGTATGGATCCTAAAGACTTGAATCAAGCAATCAAACGTGAACACTACCCATTACTCACAGTAGAAGAAGTGGTTTCAAGAATGCCAAATGATAAATATTTCTCGGTGCTAGATGCTAATCAAGGCTTCTGGCAGATCAAGCTGGATGAGGAGAGCTCCAAGCTTTCTACATTTAATACCCCCATTGGCCGATACCGGTTTCTGAGACTACCCTTTGGAATCTCATCAGCTCCAGAGGTCTTTCAAAGAGCCATAGCAGAGCTGATCGAGGATTTGGATGGAGTGGTAAACATCATAGATGATCTGCTGGTGTGGGGAGACTCCAAGGAACAGCACGATCAAATACTGAAGCGGCTTCTGGACCGAGTAAGAGAGTCCAAGCTGAAACTGAACAAAAAAAAATGCATCATCAGAACAACGGAAATCAAGTACATCGGACACACACTGACAGACAAAGGGTTAAAGCTAGATGAGGAAAAAGTGAGAGCGGTTACTCAGCTACCTCCACCACAGGACAGGACCGAATCGATGATGTTTTTAGGTATGATCCAGTACCTTGCAAAGTTCATTACGAACCTGTCAGATAAAAGTTCCCCCTTGAGGTAGCTGCTGGAAGCAGATGTGGAGTGGCACTGGGAGGAACAGCAAAGAAAGAGTTTTGAGCATCTCAAGGAACTGGTCAGTAAGGCTCCAACACTCAAGTATTATGACGTCAACCAGCAAGTCACACTGTCAGTTGATGCTAGCTTGGAGAGAATAGGTGCGGTTCTGTTGCAGGAGGGGCAATCTGTGGCCTATGGATCGAGAGCTCTCACAGACTGCCAGCAAAGACACGCTCAGATTGAAAAGGAGCTGCTTGCTATTGTGTACGGCTGTGAGAAATTTCATCAGTATGTTTATGGGAAAAACATCAATGTGGAGAGCGACCACAAGCCATTGGAGAGCATCTTGAAGAAGTCACTACATCAAGCTCCGATGAGGCTACAGCGGATGCTGCTGAGACTACAGAGATACAACGTAGAGGTGAGGTATAAACCAAGAAAGGAACTCTACATTGCCAACACCCTAAGGTGAGCTTTCCTCAAAGAACAGACTGAGGATCCACTGGACAAAGAGTTGGAGGTGAATCTGCTGACACTGCAGCTACCAATGTCAGATGAAAAGCTACTACAGTTTCAGAAAGCTACGCCAGAAGACAATGAAATGCAGTTGCTGAAAGACAGGATATTGAAGGGATGGCCAGGAGAAAGAAATGCAGTTCATAAAGACATTTTAGCATACTGGGCATTCAGAGATGATATTACATTCACATCAGGACTAGTGTTCAAAGGAGCTAAAATCATTGTTCCAAGGCAGCTCAGGCAAGAGATGCTGGAGAAAATCCACGAGTCACACCTAGGAAGGGGTCAAGTGCAAAGAAAGAGCGAGAGACATTTTATACTGGCTGAATATGTCAAAACACATCGAGAAAATAGTAGCACAGTGTGCAGTGTGTAATGAGAACAGAAACAGTAACCCCAAAGAGCCACTACTGTCTCATTCAATACCAAACAGACCATGGGAAAAAGTGGGAACAGATCTATTTAACTACAAGGGATCAGAATTTTTGCTGTGTGTGGATTACTTGTCAACGTTCCCAGAGATACTAAAGCTGACTGAGACTACCAGTAGAGGGGTAATAGTGGCCATGAAATCGATTTTCGCCAGGCATGGTATACCAGACGTGGTATGCCAGTGCTGAGTTTCAGGAGTTTGCAAAAAGGTGGGAATTCAAGCACATTACATCAAGTCCCACACATGCTCAGTCGAATGGACAGGCTGAAAGGATGGTTCAGACAATTAAAAATCTCTTAAAGAAATCAGAGGAC